AGTGGGTAAGTCCCCAGTTTGCAAGTACAGCTGGTAGAAATCGCAGATTCCCAGCCATGAACGCTATAAATCTGGGGGGGTGTGTGGTAAATAAGGCGTAATTGCTGGCCGGCAATTACGGTTCCGTTTTTGTACGACAGAGTGTTTATGCATTTCTCAATGGATGCTAAGAAGATACTCTAGATGAGTAGTTTCTTATATCTGTAGTTAGTACTCACAAAAGTAATGATACATCTTTCACCATCTTCCAGGAACATCAGGGCAAGATGATCGAGCAATCCAAGGTAAGGAGAATTCCTGTCTCTTTCCTGCCCGATTAGAACAACCAAGAAATCCTTAAGTCGGCGACTTGAAGCCGCAAAAGTCGGATGTCGCTCGCGACGGCGGACGCACCCGCAGAAGACTGAGGAGCCTAACCCTCCGCTACCTACTTAGGTTTCAGACCCGAGAAAACGAACAAGGCAAGATGGCCGAGCGGTCTAAGGCGCTAGCTTCAGGTGCTAGTCAAGTAATTGGCGTGGGTTCGAATCCCACTCTTGTCATCTTCTTTTGCTTTTTTGGTCCTATGCATATCTATGTCCATCATTTCATCATTTGGACATGAAAGCAGCCGTCGAAACTCATTGTGGTTGATGTTAAAGATGTGCTTAAAGTTAGCCTTGGATATCGGGTGGCCAACAACGGTTTTGTGCTCCACTTATGCCGAAGAGTCCGGGCTCCCGCTCCGCGTCCAGTCTCTAATCCCCGCTAAAGCATCTCCATACCTTGACTCTACCCATAATGCAATGAACGGCAATATCATCGAACAGGATGAAGTTGTTTGAAGAAAAGTGTACGTCATGGTCCTCATCTAGCCTTCATCTGAACCTTAATCATCTGTGCCGTCTGCTCGCTGTTCCAAGCCTCCTGCTGTTTCTTCGCCTTGGCTACCAGCGCTCTCTGTTGTGGGAGCGGCAAGTGCGTCAAGGCCTGTCGATCGGCCGGGCGCAGCGTGGCTAATTGCTTCTCGAATATACTTTCCCGGTTGTCTGCTGCTGTCGTCAAACCCTTCTCGCTATGGTGACTTGCTGTCAAGGCTGTCGATGTGTTTCCTTTTGACGAGCCTTCCCCAACCAGAAGCGAGTAGCTGACTTCCCTCTTGCTACTCTTAGGGTCTCGGCGATCTCTGGCTTTCTTGGCACTTCGATGCGATACGATCTTTCCAGATGCCAATTCTCTGGTGTTCTCGTTCGAGTCGACGAAATGCCGGCATCCCAGACTATCCTCGCTGCCTCTACCATAACCAGGGTCGAGATTATAAAAGTCTCTAAACTCCGAGTCTGGCTTGTCAATGTCTATTCGGCAGTGGGACTTGCCCGTCATGTGCTGCCGAACGGCCTGGGCTGTGTTCCTGGCAGACCCGCAGTAGAGACACTCCTTGTACTCAACCATGACGAGGTGAAAGTATTTGATCAATGTCTCGAGGTCTACTATCAGACTTTCAGGATTCGGTAAAGACAGTCCGTGGCGTTTCTGCATGTGAACCATGTTTTCTGCGAATGCTGGGCTAAGCTCACTGCAAAAGAGACACTGGCTGGGGTTAAAGATTTCTTGGGGTTCGGTGTCGTTCTCGTCTTCGTCCGAGTCTGGAAGGGATGCTTCTTGAAGCCATTCGCTGAGTTCATTGGGGTCCTCGAGCTCGGCGACAGGGTCCGACCGTGGGACCGATAGTTCTGACATGCTAAGATAATGTAGACTTCTTGAGCTGTCCACTGGTACAGCGAGTGTATCTTGCGACCTGCTAGATGTATCAAACTCGAACAACGATAGAGATGATAAAGAAGCTTAAGCATATACACTTCCAAAAACACTGGGAGTGCATGGCCATTCCTAAGGGTCTTATAGACTGAGCTTGAAATACAATTTCCACGAGCGCAAGGCCCAGACTCGAGTTTCTTGAATAGACGGAATAACAAATGGGCCCAGAACGCCGCTGAAATACTTCTAGACCTTCCTCTTTGCGTAAGTCGCCGTATGACTGCATAAACAGAGCTCAAAGAGGCAGTGGAGTGGCGGGGATCTGGTGGAGGACCAACCAACAACCAGGTCTTTCGCTGTGTTGCTTGTAAGAGATTACCAACAGAACAGACTCACTCGTATTCGGTCACAAAAATCATTTTTGGAGATGCAACCTCTGAGACTATCTCAAAACTCGATTCGTGTAGATCTCGAGGATATAATTACGTCGTGAGTTGGACATCGCTACCCCCATGTGTCGGGGTCCCAGGCCCTGTTCTTGCGTTTTCATCTGCCGCTGGCCGTTTCGAAGATTTTGAGAACCATCATCCATATTTCATCTGTATGCCTTTCCGCGGAGCCTTCTGCTTACGCGAGGGAGTTGAGGTCTTGGTTTCAGTCAGCAGCAAAGCTGAAGAGATGAGATGTTGCTGCTCGAGAGTCAGGCAGAAGGAGGCATGTTGTACATGAAGCGAGATGATCAGAAGTACAAAAAGTCCAAGGTCCTGCCGTCAAGAAGCTGCGCCTCTCGTCTTGACGCCAGACAGAAACTATGACCACGTAGGGAAGTGTTTTGAACAAGAATGTAAAAGACGCCAATAATGTTTACGTGTTGCTTTATGGGTGTTCCCCTCCAATTTCTGTGGCGAGATATTCAAGGAAGAATAGCCAGATCCAGGGACCGAACATTGTTGAACGGTGTAAGTCCATGGCCTGTTCCGAATTATCAACGCGATTCAGAGTCAGGCTAGTGTGTGCGTCAACACTCAGTGTCGTGGCATTGGTAGGCAGTGAAAGGCTGCAATTGAGCTGGACGTTCATCCTCATAACAGGTCTCGGCGGATGTTTCTGCATCTTACTCATATTAAAGCATGTTACCTAAAGTTACTCAAGGCTACAGGTGATTATCTAGAGGGCTTGATGACGGGAAGACTGGCACAAGGCCAAGAAGGGTTGGTCTCTGGCTTGCCGAACTCCACATTGCCAACAATGGTGTAAATGTTGTTGCAGAGCGGCATCTTGACGTAGCCAGGCACGCGAATGCCGTTTCCAAACCACAAGCTAGATCCCTCGCTGGGCTGGATGTTGGTGTAGTTCATGTTGAAGTTGTTGTTCATCCGGCCGCCCTCGACCCAGCCTCCATACACGGCGGCGACGATGTCTTCCTTTGTAACACCACCCCACTGCTTGCCATCCATGGTGTCCGTACCAAAGAGGGCAGAGAAGGGGTTGTTTTCACTGGGCCTGATGGAGGGGTGACCGATGCTCAACTCCACACCCTCGTTTCTGATGTCGAGCAGATAGAATAGGGCGCCGTTGTAGCAGGCGGCAGCCCTTTCATGCGAGTCGGCAGGCAAGAATGGCCAGAGAGAATCGTCTCTCTCGGTCTTGCCCATCTTGCAGGGGAGACCGGTTTGGCTGGTGCTGCATGTTAGCCGAAGCCTATTGGGGTGGCTAGAGGGGGCTCGGGGAAGAAACATACAGAACGAATGGTCTCCGAGCGGAGGGAACAGTCTCCCACGCGGCCAACATGAGGTTGGGGTAGAAGAGCTTCTTGATCACCTTGGACATCTCCCTGAAGTCAATGTCATCGGGGGTAGCAGACATCAGACCGTTGTCCAGCGCGGCTGTCAAGAACTTGATCGTTGCGTCATCTCTAGGGGTGAAAATCCTCTTGAGGTACTCGACCTCAGCTGCCTTCCAGCTGTCAAACACGTCGCCCATCATGGCAGACAATGTTCCGTAGGCGGGCTTTGGCGAAGCACCACTGTTTGATGGCATCAGTACTTCAAGCCTTCAGCAGTCATGATAGTTGAGACTTACGGGAGGAGGAAATCCTTTCCAATGGCCCAACTGGTGAAAATTGTGTAACTGCTGGTTGTGGTGATTTGAGATCGCATGGTCTGAGTGAGGAAACTCTGGAACAGCGTAGAGTACACAACTTTCCAAGTCATTAGCTTTGAACACCACGTGCCAGTAGAGAGTGCTTGTGAGAAGGACTTACAGATGTTGTTGGTGTAAGCTTGCGCAATGCCAACGACTCCGTAGATGACGTTGAGCATGATTCTCTGCATCCTAGCCGATGAGTCGCTCTCTGCAAGAGGGACAGAAAACTTCTCGGCAAAGAGACCCATCTCGGACTGGATGTCCATCTGTGCCTGGTCAAGAGCCTCGAAGTAACGGCGGTGAAACTAAACCAGCTATCAGTCACTATTCGTATGCCTACGGCATGTGATGTCCCCTAGGTAGTGTAATATGGAACTTACTTGGTGCATCTTGGAGAAAGAGTTGAGAATCAGATGACCAGCGGGGTACTTGGTATCCTCGCAAGTCAACGAAGTTGAGCAAGGCACGTCAAGCAGCTGCGTGCATCGCCACATTTCCGGGCCACCGAGGTACCACGACGCGAACTGGCTAAACTCGAACTTGACCTCGTTCGGTCCAGAGTCGTATTCCTTCCAGGCCTTGAGCACCTCGTTGAGGGCCTCGGTGGCGCCGGCTGCCGCCCATCGCTTGTCAGGCAATGCCTTTGCATCGACGACGGTGCCTTGGCACTTGACGGTCTTCCAGTCCACGGCGGCGGCGGCTAGGGCCGTGGCTGAGGATAGCCAGACGGCTACAAATGAGAGGCGCATTGCAAGAAAGACTTTGTATTGAGGCTGAAGGAACGTAACCGGTTGCGAAGGAGCTCTACCTGCGAGTATCGGCTCGATCGAAGACTGCTGGTGACAGACGGAGTCTTATACATTCCTCGTCCGACGTCTTCATGATGGGCAGCAAGTGAAATCAGAATATTGAGGTGACAACAAACAACGCCTGTCGCATACATCCTCAAGTCGCCCGCGACTTTTTTGTCACGAAAACCTAGACCAGGTAAAATTGTGGAAATGAGGTCTGCGGTCATTGGCAAGACTTCGCGATTGTCTCTTCTACGGAGGTTGCCGAAACTTTGATCGAAAATCTGATTAGATGTGATTTATCACTTTGACTCTGCTAATCTCGGTATCTGATCGGCAATAAGGCGGAGTACTGGGTGCGGGAGTTGCAACAAGGATGGGGGGTGCTTTGAAAAGTTTATCTGGACTGTGGTACAAACATTGACCAAGAACTTGCTCGTCAAGCTTACTTGAGCCTTGATCTCTACCCGGTCATTCAACGAAGTGTTATTGGTAAGTACCCCAAAGAATTGATTGATTGACGCCGACTTACCAAACTCCTGCATCTGGAAGTTTATTTCATTCTTTCTTCCACATCTATGGCGCTTTGGGTACTTGAAAATTTGAGCTCTTACAGGTTGACGAGATATTGCCAGCTCAAGGAACATTTCCCTACCAGGCTATTTCTCCAGCAGGCATTGAAATGCTGAAACCATCCAGGTGCTCGCGCTCATGATGGATTATAATGACGAATCACTTCGTTACTAACTTGATCACACAGCTGGGCAGAAAATGGCAATTCTTTCGCCTTTTTGCCTACCGCGTGTTTCGCCAACCTTCTCATTTCTCGCTGGGTTGATCGCGGTTTTGAGAGCTGATCACTGATGGGGCCAAGCGTTTTTGCGCTTCTTTGAAGTCTGTGCTTTTGACAGCGATCAACAAGAATTGTTGCCAAGACAAGGTTGAAAATTCAGAAAAGCTTGTTATGAGCATTTTGCGCTGTCATCGGCACAAGTATGAGCTGATTTCTCGTAGGCAGATCTAGGTTAATAGTGTTGTTGGTTTGATGCCCGGTTATTCTTTACCCTGATGGTCAAAAACTTTGTTCTACCGGGATACACTGCTCCGTCCCAGAAAGAGCGAATATCTCTCGGAAATGAGCGCTGCTATGCTACAACGAGGCGGACCATAACTGCGAAGAAGAGGTGGAGAAGGGTGGGAGAGGAAACTCACCGAGCCGAATACGGCAAGAAGGGTATCAACCGACTACGACTAGCAAAAGGTTTCCAAATATAATACAGCTGTGCTGCTGGGGCCTGGCTTCTGGGCCTGTGGTCAGTTGTTCAGTCCTCCCACCCAATCCAACGAGCACTTGTCCGAACTTCTACATCGAACGACTTGTTCTCGACAGACTAAGATCGAGATGTTACTGTTCACGAAAGCGTAAGTTGCCCTCGACGATCAAGCACACATGATGCATGTACCTTAGGTTCAAGAAGTAATTTTGCTAATATCACGGCAGCAACCTCTGGGCCTGTTTGGCTCTGGTCCAGCTGTGCTCTGCCACCGCGATTGATGTCACCGGGCTCAGCCCGCGCGGTGCCTACCGCGACGACTCTGGGAGTTCGGATTGTCTACAAGTTGGCTGTGATACGTCGGTCTGCGCTAAAGACCCCGTCGATGCTCTCGCTATTGCGTCGAAGGGAGTGAGCCTCATCTTGGGTCCTGATTGTGCCGGATGGGCTGAAGGTAGTCCTTCCGTGGTGCAGGGCGACAAGTCCTGCCCTGCGGGGACACAACTTTACCGTGGAGACTTGAGGGTTTGGCGTGCGTGGAACAATGTTGGAAAGAAGTTCACAACCACATTCGTTCCGTGGGAACAGTTCAAGGGTGCTACTTGCTGGGGCAGGAAGGATGTTACTTGCGTTAAAGGGCCAAAGCAAGTCCCGGATCCGAACACCGGCTTATGCGGACCATGGGCTCTATAGACTGACGTCGGTTTGCACTCGAAGAGCCCAAATGGGAGGTTATCATAGGTTCAATCGCGTTCATGGATAGATATTTAATCTTGACTGACCAAGATAAAACGCTCTTTTGAGTCTTGCCATTCCTAGTCCGATAGTCAAATCGCGAACTCATGTCTCTCAAGTCCTGTCAGCTTAAAGCGAACTTTACTCTCGCATCACTGAAGATTAACATAGTAGTGAGTGACTATCCCGAGAGAGAAGCAGAGGTTGGTTTATGACCATAATCTTCTAAGACACATTGGATGCACTGGATACAAAGAGTCCTCCAGAGCCATTTCTGATGTCCGCCGCAATTGTGAAAGACATCTTCTCAAGGCGAGGTAGGTAGTCTGAGAATAGATACATCATCCACGGCCTAGTCGGGTATCAACTCTGACCGCGCCATAGTGCTTCAAGAATCGTCCCCAAATAGGGGGAGAATACAATTGCTTCCTGCCAGCCCTGGCTATGGGCCACAGGACGCGACCAGCACCATCCTCCCAGCCAATGGGCCGCTCGCCGCCGTAGGCCTGCTCAAATTCTGGAGCGGCACTCATGTAGCCTGGATCGACAGTGTTCATGGCCACGCCTAGCTTCCAAGCCGTCGGCGCCTCCGTCTCGGTGATCATATTCAGCCCAGCCTTTGACATATTGGTGTGGACATGCTTGCTATTCTTGGCGGAACTGCGTTGAGTTGACTCAAAAATACCTTCTCTGGAAGAGACGTTGACGATGTGACCCCCTTTTCGCATCGAAGGTAGCAGCTCCCTGATCAGTATCAGAGGCACAAAAGTATTTACGCTGTGTGCGGTGATGACATCCTCGTAAGGGATCTCCGAGAGTGACTGAACCCAAGATGATGGGGCTGACGTATCTGTGCTAGATATCTGCAGCTTAGACATTGGGTCAGAAAGGGACGTGTTCTTAGGAACTGAAGGCCCGGCAATACTGCCAGAAACCTTTCCCGCCACACCATCAGGAAGACTACCGGCACCACCTCGTACACGAGGTGAGTAGCCTTGGCGTACGACTATGCTTTTGCCATCGTCCGACGGATTGTCAAGCAGAAACCACTCATGTTCTATGGCACGCTCCTCTTTCTCAACTGGATCCGTAAGAGTTTGGGCGGCGTTATTGATCAGATAATCAAGACCCCATCCTTCTTGCTCAAGAACTCTCTTGATGGTTTGGACTAGAGCGAAAGCATCAGCTGCTGCTCGGAAGTCCGCCCCGATGATCCTTAATCTCTGAGCCCAGTCATCAAAATCTGCCTCCTGTCGGTACCGGGAGAGCGCATCTTCGGGATAACGTGAAGAGACGATCACAGCAGCACCGCAACGGAGCAGCCGCAGGGCCGTGTTGAAGCCGAGATTGACGCGCCCACCAGTCACGATGGCGGTCTTGTCCTTGAGTGACAAGTTCTCGGGTAGCGACAGAGCTCTTTCCGCGAGGTTAAACTCTCCGCAGGGAATGCACATCGATCCCAGCTGAGGATGCGGGTTATCGAGAACCATGCGGCAGACATAGCAAGTTCGCTTGCGACTGCCCATTGGCATATGCCGGTGCACCCGGTCATACGGATCGTCGTTAGCGGCTATTGAAGGCGTATCGGAGAGTCTCGTCTTGATGGTCTCAATCATCTGCTCGAATAGCAATTGGCGCATACCTGGATCAAGGATGGGCCAAAGGTGGAATGAAACTCTCTTAGACTCGGCTGAAGAGGACGGAGGCATGTAAAGAGCGAGAAGGCTGGGCAGCTCTGTTTCGTCTTTTGCAGCCTTTTTCGACAGGTCAAAATCATATCGTAGTTGGTTTGCGACATCATGCAGTCGTGAGTTCGCAATGAAATGTTGAAAGTCGGATGGTCCCATAAGAACACTTGGGGGATCCCTGGCCATTTCAGGAAGACTGTCAATTTTATCCTCGGGGGCCTGAAGTGCAGTCTCCTTGATACTTGAAGCTAGTTCGGGAAATTGGCTTTCCATTTGTTCAACGACACGCATAAAAGACTCAAGCCACTCCAATTCTGCCGGAGTACTAGGCATGGCGTTCTTGTGCTCTTGAAGCTTCAGCCCTTTGGTCGAGGTCAAGCGCGGGAGGGTATCTTCGAGTGTGCGAATGCTTTGGATGCCGTTCCTCGTCTTCTGCAGGTCCAAAGAGTAGTCCAGCTCTTCATTGACAGCATCGAATAGCTGGAGACACCAGTCATATGGTACTAGTATCGGGTGGGCGTACCGAAACGACCATAGTGTACGTCCCGATCTTCGAGCGTACAAGCGTAGTTGCCGAGGAACATGCGCGATGTTCTTCCGTGGGGTCTGAGGTGCCAAGGGGGTCTTCAGGTACGTTGGGAACTGCTCGTAAAGATCGGCCAGACGGTGGAGCTCTGATGCCTTTTGATCATTGAGAAGTTTCTGTGCCTCGACAAGACGCGGAATAATATCGACGCAGTCATCAGGTTTCCAGCCTTTGGCGCGAAAACCTGCAACGGTCCGTGGATGTTGGAAAGCTGTTGAATCCTCGGGTTTTGGCAGATACTGTATGACGGCGTAGAGCTTGGTGCCACGATCCCGAAATTTTTCTTTGTGAAGTATCATCCTGGAAAAGGCGCGCACCAGGTCATCTCCAAGAACAGCTGTGGGGCGTGGCCAGTCCGGCATAGCAGAGGATGAAGCCTTGGCGTTTCGAGGCCTAAATTCAGAGTCCGGTTTCGTCGCCATAACGAGCTGTCCCTCTGACAACGAAGAGAGTCTGTTCAAAGCCACCCAGAATTTGGCTAAGAGGCCCAGGTCTTGATCGCGTAGTACTGACCATGCTTTGCTGTTGCTAAGAGCTGACTGAAGGGATGTGCCGTGAGGGGAATTTGCCCCATACTGAGTTCCCAAGAGGTCGAGGATACGGTGATATGGGAGGTCGGCGAGGACAGGCTCAATGAGCTCGGCTGGGGTTACTGAGAGTTGTCGGGCGATACGAACGATTCTTTGAGGGAGTAGGTCATCCATCGTGGATGTGAAAGCTCATCATCTAATTCCTCTGGGGGAGGTGAAATCGGGCAAATAGAGTTCAGATCGAGGCGTTGAAGTCTAGCTTATTGACGTTGTCAACATACAACCGCCCTAAGGAGCTGAACGTGATTGCTGTTGATATATAATTTGAATGTTGTGAAGTAGTGGATATGTAGCACAGTAAAAGTGACTCGACGATGAGGTGAGAAAGACAGGAAGCCAAGACCATCTCCAAGTTTCTATTGGCTACAATGACTTGACGGTCTAGAATGCTGACTTCCATGGAGGTAATCCACATCGGGAAAATGCACGAACCCCTGAAATGACGCTGCTGACGGCTGCTGCCTAAGTAGCGTGGAGAACATTGACTACGACAGCACCATGAAATTGAAGGGCGCAAATCGGAATGACAAGGTGTTGCAGATTTCCATGAGCCTCTGTGCTGTTCTGCTGCGGGCTGTCGACATGTCGGGCCAGACTAGATCAGTCATTCGAGATGGGAGTCAAAATGTCAAAATGTAGAAATGTCTAGGTAAGGGCGTGGGTGAGTCAAACTGAGCTTGAATTTGGATGCCCTGTCCAACTCAATCGCCCGATCGAATCTTGCAACAACACATCCCCTAGTCAGACACTGCCCTTCTTTTCTGACCGACATCCATGCTGTGTTCTACATCAAATCAAGGAAGCTCTCGAATATGATCTTCGGCCCATTCCTCAAATCTTTTGCAGGTAGGTAGAAGCTCACAAGGCTCGAAGAAAGGGCGCCTGCCTGGTGATGTGGCCAGTCAAGTGAAAGATGCATGGGAAGATGAGCAAGTTACAATATTAAGCCCGTTATTATTGCAGAAATGAAAATTTACGTTCATCGCAAGGACCGATCATTGGCAATTCTGTTGTTTTTGTGTTTTGAATCAAATTCATCCGCAGACCTTCCCACCTCTGCAACTGCAACAATGGTCGAGAATTTCCTTCAAAGTGTCTTGTGCTCAGCTAAAAGATCGACAAACTGGTCTATCTTTCGTTTCCTCGTTTCTGGACGTTTCGTCGTCTCGATCCGCCACAAGAAGGCATACCGCTGCGTCTTATTCAAAGCATCAAAGAACTTGTTTGCCTCTTCGTTACGGTGCAATGCCTCCGCAAAGTCTGAAGGCATTTCCATTGTACTTGCAGAAGAGTAGGCTCGGTCCCATCGTCCATCCGCCTTTGCGGCGTTAACCTCTGCCTGTCCAGCTGGTCTCATGCGTTCCGCTTCGGTCAGAGCCGCAATTTTGTCAACGTTTCTCTTTGACCAAAGACTATTTTTCCGCCGTGGAGTGAACCTCTGGATAAAGTGCTGCTCGTCGAAGGCTTTGCGTTGTCCGTCGATCCAGCCGAAGCAGAGCGCTATATCGAGGGCTTGATCGTAAGTGACTGTTGGCTTTTCGGCGTTCTTTTTGGAGATCTTGAGCCAGACGCCCAGGGAATTTTGGTACGAGTTATCCAAGTAGCTCTCCCATTTGGATTGGTCCTCGAAGAGTAGGGTTGGGATGAGCTCCGAGGAACTTGGTGGAACATTTTGATTGGTGGCTGGCACAGGCAAAGATTCTGCTTTGTTCTTGATCTCAGCTTGGAGACTTGCTCTGGTACGTCTCGGCATGATCGTCGATGAGAACTTTGGCCGGGGGTTTTGCTGCGTACGGCGTTGAACACCACGATGAGGGGCGCTGTGTGGTAGCGTTCCTGTCCTATGCCGAAGATTTGCATACAAAGACCTCAAGGTTGGCTCAAGAGTTGTCCTCATGAGTAAATAAGCTGAGGACCCTTGGTATGGCAGAAGTTAGATGTTGGTGGAAAGAAGCTTTGGGGGATAAGACACCTGGATACCCCAAAAGCCTCCCTCTTGGGTTCGAGCTAGTCCACTTGGGGACAGCGGCTGCAGGTACCCATCTCCGCTAACGGTGTTAGGGGTCATGGGACACAACTCTAACCATCGTCTTGGTGATAATTTCCTACGCGCATACCCCATTTGATATGTTCCTAGATCGAGAACGATTCATTAACCTGAATGTCTGCGGGTGCAGGCCAGGGATACGCAGACTTGAAAGTGATACAAATGTCAAGATCTACCATCCCCTCGTTGCATTTTGGACTTATGCCTGCGCAAGTTGGTGTGTACGCCTTGAATCCAGTCAGCTTCCGTATCTACTTGAAATCACCATAGTCAACATAGTATACCGCATCTTCGAACGGCCGCACTCAGCCAATGTAGTGCCCATTCTTCCTACAGATAAGATTTAGATGTAAGACGGGACAAGGTAGATGTATTCTAGTATTCTACAACCTCACGGCTTCATTCTTCGCACTCTCAGTTGCTTCAGGCCTGTCAAAACATTCTTTACTTCCGGTTCACGACTTTCAAAACCTACCTCCGAGAGAGAAAGGGGCGCCTGAATAAATTAACCTGTCTAGGTACGATAATATCGCACCCGTGCGGATAGCCTTACATTTGGCTTTTGCCAAACTTTTTACATAATGGCCAGACGGCACGAGAAAGACATTATGTTCACGATGCCGATGAGAACGAGACGTACCGGGTCGGCAGGGTGTCAAGACCGGGAAGTTTATTGCTTCTGATGCTATAAAATCTCTTCGTCTGCAATGTTTCTTTTGATTTTATTTCAAACTGACATCCTCAGTCCCCGGTCATCTTCCCACTGCCCCAAACACTCATACCACTCCAACTTACTCCACGCAGTTTGACTGCATCGCTTCAACATCTTGCCTTCAGAATCATCTGATACACTTCTTTAACACAAATCTTCTTTCAGACGCTTCAGTCATCACGATGAACTATACGCAAGATTTGTTGTTTGGCTCAGCGCCGAGTTATGTGCGCAAAGAACAATCTCACAACGACTACAACAAAGGCAGCAACATCTGCTCGAAACACATTGTCGTACAGGGTATCGACATACCTCGGGACATGACAATTACTCAGAGAGGTTTCATGGGGCTCCCATTCCTCTCAAACATCACATCCAACTCCCCGATAGACGAGTTCAAGGCAACCAGCGCTCGAGACGAGTTAGATTCCTGGGCAAATCTACTTCGTCGATATGAGCCAGGCGAGAGCATGGCCAGCTTGATTAAGAGCTGTTCTTCATGGATCAACATGAGCCAGCTCGATCCTTCTTTGGAGAATCTCACACACGTCAAACTGGCACACACTATATACGAAACCCTTAAAAACGCCAACTTCGACTGGTGGGCTAAACGGTGTCGTTATAAAGCTTACGAGGAAGATTCTGAAGCCGACGATCTTCCTTTCTCGCGCTCGCGCTGGCCAAGCCCCCCTCTCGGCACTTCAACAACCATTGAGTTCCAATGGAACTCCGACACAAAAGTTCTCTGTTGGGTCGACATGACCACAAACGAGACAGTGCAGATCTCCTTCGAGCAGTTCACCGATGGTACTGGGATTCTCGAGTCCATGGAGGATCACGAAGCCTTCAACCGTTGGATTGAACTCCGCAAAAGGCACACATCAAAGCTCCGCAAGGAGTACACATTAAAACGCTTGGGAACAACAATTTACCGCCCCAGAGCCCAGAAGCCCACCGAGGCTGCAACCCGGCGTGCACCAGCTACAAAGAAGACTAGAGAGGGGTGCAAGATGGGGAAGGGAAGGAAGAACTAAGAGGAGTCAGAGGCTCAAGTGCTGATCTTCGCGACCTCAGCACAGAGGAGGAGTAATGAATTGGGAAGTTTGGATAATCACTTGAGGGTCTTCGTGGGACCATGGAGCTTGAAGGCAAGACGCGTTGCCTGCCTAGACAGCTCTTTACTACAACTGTACATCATTACATCCTACATTAATACAGTACAAATTGTCCCGCTTCGTGCTTACATGGCCAATCTACTTGTGTGACGAAGTGGATTCAGGATCAATAATCCTCATTCAAGGCCAAGGTCTCTTATCATCTATGATGATAATTGGGTTGGCAGAGAAACATGCAGAAGAGTCAACTTCACAGGATCCTGTCTGCCTTAGTCAATTGACGCTTCGAGATCAATTTCTTCTCGAAAAACTATATGTTAGTGTTCCTCCCAAAATGGCACAAAGAACAGCAAGAGCTCAAATGGCTTCTTCCCGATTCCCCCACTTTCCACTCCCGAAGTTGTGTTTGACAATACATGTACGTTCCGTACCTTGCCCGTCGGGTCTAGACGGTTTAATGTACATGTAATCTTGCGTGATGCCTGATTCATCTCCAACGTAATCACGACGGTATTAGATATGCAAATGAGATCAACGGAGTAGCACACCAGTACAGACTTTCGGCACCGGGACTAACAAGAGGACGGGTTCCCGGCATCTCGTCTGCAAAGCTTGTCCACAATAACCGGGGAACCCTTGACTCGTTATGACATGCATGTCTCTAATTACGTCTCATCCACACTTTGGCTGATATACGGATGTAGGGGATGTCATATCGGACCAGGGATGATCTGGCTAAAAGCCACGTGAAGGAGGGGTTCAAACAGCCCAGATTCGGACGACTTCATTCCGAGGTTTGAAACGAAGAGCAATTACATATCAACTATGAAGCCCGACTGGCTTGAGCTTTGGGAATAGTGAGAGAGAGCCCTTGCCAATTCCCCAAAGTGGGTTTCTCATCACTGTCTTCATGATGCTGGCATACTGGCTGTTCCTCTGGGCAACGCTCACCCTCGCCATCCCAACTGGCGTCAACATCTCCGGACGGCAAGACGAAAATCACTGGGTTGTGGCATGGACGTCTATGCCCCAAGAAGTAGAACAGAGTAATCTTCCACCGTCGCCTTATGTACGCCGCTTCCTTCCTTCTCGCTGTAACTATACTGATGTGACTCTGTAAGAACGGAGGAAGTGTCCAGTTCCGCAATGCGACGCTCCGTCAGACCTTTCACGCCTCTGTCGGCGCATCACGCATTCGGTTCCAGCTTACAAACAACTTTGGGGGTTCAGATCTGCCCATTACAGCAGCCTCCGTCGCCCTTCCACTCGGCGGAGCGGCAGGCGTCTCGGGGATAGATACTACCACCACCAAGGGACTAACTTTCTCCGGGTCTCCATCCGTGACTATCAAGCAAGGCGCGGTTGTCTACTCTGACCCGATAGATTTCAAGGTGCTACCTCAGGCAAACATCGCGCTGAGTCTATACTCCCAGCAAGGCCAGTCCGGGACTCGCATCACGGGACACCCCGGCAGTCGCACGACTTCGTGGATGCAGACTGGAAACCAGGTGAATGCATCGTTTGTTGGGGGTGCTAGCACAAAGCACTGGTACTTTGCTAGTGCTGTGGAAGCCTGGGTTCCCAGAAACACGTCTGCGATGATCGTCCTCGGGGATAGCATCTCAGATGGACGTGGGAGCGACGATGACAGGAACAACCGGTTAGCCAACTGCCCTCTCATGACCATCTTAATCTTCAACTGAATATAACTCCAGCTGGCCTGACCTCCTCCTTGCACGCCTGCAGAAAGAGGGGATCACAAACCTCGCCATCGCAAACCAAGCAGCCGGCGGCAACGCAGTCCTCAGCGGCGGCCTCGGCCCCACACTCCTGATCCGCTACCCCCGCGACGCCCTCGCCCAGCAAGGCGTCTCCCGCGTTCTCATCTTCGAAGGCGTAAACGATATCGGCGGCGGTGGTACCGACGCGGGCTCCCAGCAGCGCATCGGCGACGGGCTTATCGCCGCGTACCAGAAGATCGTAGCCGACTGCAAAAAGGCCGGGCTGGCTACCGTCGGGGCGACGATCACGCCGTTCGCGGGGAACGGGCAGGCGTACTCGAATGCGGAGAGGGAGCGGACACGGGCGAGGGTGAATAAGTGGATTCTGGAGAGCGGGACGTTTGATCACGTCGTGGATTTTGCGGGGTTTATTGGCGATGGGGATAAGTTGAAGGCGCAGTTTGATGGCGATGATCATTTGCATCCAAATGTGGCTGGGTATCAGGAGATTGCGACCAGGTTTCCTTTGGATGTTTTCAAGAGTTGAGGAGATGGTTCGTGAATAACACGGCCTCTCTAGGTGGTCGTCATAATTCATCCATCAGCTTGACGCGGCAGCTCATCAGTTGCGACAATCCAGTGTGAACCTCGGTGGTCGATACTTCAGCAGAATCGTGACTTGAGATGTGGTTGCGCCTCAGTTGGCAGGCATATTTAATCCATTTCAACCACAGAAAACTTGTCAAAAGCCTGGGGCAAAATCTAAAGCGTGCTGTAAGTCGGCTCAGCGGCTCCGTAGCAGAGCTAAATGAGTTAGCCTAGTGGATTTGCCGATCAACAAGGCAGAATCGTACTTGGCGGCTGAGGGAGGCATTCGCCTCACTTTGCGCCTGGGTGCCTGATGAAGTGCGATAGAGTAAAGCAATAAAGTAATCAGTTGAGACTCTGAGACTCACAAGCTCTCATACCTTAGCTATGGTGGGCTTTTGCAAGACTTCAGATTTCGCCCAGACCACGACTCACTCAACTGAAAAACACGCCACTTCGGAATCCATCAGGATGGTTAACAATAGTCATCTGGAGGCGCAGGTCGGATACGCCAACAGCAGTCCCCAGTCACAAGGGAGGGCCCCTGGAACCAATGGGTCCGGGTTTCCAGCGCTGTCGCCAACAGCGCAACCTTGGACAGATCATAACACCAACGCCCATAAGACTTGGAACCGAACAGGCAAGTTGAGCTTGTTCAAGACCCTCAGGAACGGCACAAATGGTGCATCGAATCGTTCCCATCGTCCTGTAAGGTCCCGCGTGCGACCGGCGTCGTCACGGGGATGGTCTAAGCCAGAAAATGGTGGTACGGTGATATTTGCGGGACATGTAGTCCTCATCATCTTCGAGGTCATTGCAATTGTCATCTCCTCACAGAGCCTCGAACGGATCAAGAAGTTTCCGGGACTTGTTCAGAGGGCCGAGTTTGTCTCGTGAGTTTCTGCCCATCTCGCTCATCGTTTTTCGAGTCAGTTGAATCGGCCCCACTGACACAAAGACACGCAGCATGGTATCGCTGATATCTATGTGCGTCGAGGTTGGCGCTTGGATCATCGTCACCTTGGTGGCATGCTCTTGGTTTGGGATGGCTCTTTCCGGTGCATTTGCTGCCCTCCTCTGTCTCAATGCCACCGCGACGGGATCATATCTCATTTTTGTGATAAAGGCCAACCTAGACAATGCTCTCTGCGATGAGTACGGTGAAGAGTCGGCGGACTGCTGGGCTGGACTGAGGATGGGCATGGTGGTGGGCGTTTTTCGGGTATTGCTGCTGTGAGTTCGGTACAAAATCCAGACTGGCAATGGCGTGTTTGCTAACGATTTAGCAGACCAGTTGGCGTTGCGATTGTGACTGGATACTTCATGCGGAGGAGGTCAAAGAAATATGAGAGATGAGCAGTGCCAAGCATGAGGAAAGCCACACGCAGACCGAAATCGCGGCGTCGAGAGCACAATTCGTCAACTCCTGACTTTATAGATCCACAGCCTGAATGATGTATCATTTAGATCTGCAGTCTGGTCCCGAGAGTAAGGGAGGAGGATGAAGTTGACAAGCTTCAAGAAGATGTGATGGTTCGCCAGGGCCGCACAGTCTGCCAGCGCACCAAGTTGACGGCGGGGGACGACCCAGCAGAATGGTAAGGAGGAGCGGGCGCGACGGGACGTCCGGGCTGCCCCTGAACATCTGACGAATCTCTTGCCATTGCCAGCGGATTGACAAGCCCTCCCTGCATGGAAATAAATGCCGAGTCGAAGTCAAAGTTTGACGGGAAACACAAACGCAACCATGGAAAGCGAAATGATACGAGGTAGCAGTAGTTGAGGAACTTGAGGGTTGAGAGAATGTTCAAATCCCGAAGTCTTATATCCGGATGAGAATCTCGCTGACGTGTATGCAAGTCTGCAACACAGAGATTAAGTCTTCAATAATTCAGTACTGCGCTCGGCTCTGTGCTTTTGTGATGGATGCATGTCTCTCCCAGATGGGCAAATGATAGTCTTCAATGCAACGTTCGAGTCCGCTTTCGCCCATAAACAGACGGGGCCGGCCTCGCAGCAATGACAGAGCTTTGCTTTTTTCACTTATGTGGTGAGCTGTGCATGTCAATCATCGTCAAGCCATACGCCCATCAGCCCATCCACGAGTACGTAGTACACTAGAGACTCGAAGACAGAGACATGCGGAGAATGGATGGGCAGAGCAGACCCCGTTGGTAAGCAGGGGGGAACAGGGTTACAGCGGCATCTGTCCATACCACCGGCGCAATTTCCAGCCAAACGGCACCCTCTTAGACGAGGCAGCTGCTTCTTGAAATGAAGTCGGGGGTGAGATACCATGACAAAAAAGAAAGCATGACAACCAGGGCCCCGGTCAAGCCCTGCTCGTGTCTCCCTGCCGGGCTTCCGCGGTGGGAGCCACGGGGAAGAGTGGCTGTTTATTGCCGCCCAGGATCTCCCAGGAATTGGTGTGCCATTCTGTCGGGAACCCTGCGCGACCCCACCATGGTCCACGAGTGGCCGTATTGCCATCCTGTCGCTGGTCCTTTTTGTCTTCGCCAGGGATTGTAGGAGCGTTCCTCTGCAGAAGAGACTTCGGCCTGGGACGATGAAAGTGGTCACTTAAAAGTGTGACCGTTCCCTGTCTCGCCAATGTGCAGACTTTCACGCGGGCCGGAACCCAACGCTCTGGATTCGGGATTCCTCAAAGCGTGATAGTGGTCGCCTTGCTGCGCCGCCAGCTTGGGACTCGCTCGTCCTGTGTTGGCGTGCGCGAGAGTCCGAAAGAGAAGATCAGAGGATAATACTACTTTCCGTCCAACAGTTGGCTGATCTATTCTGAGCAATCTTTGCTTTTCCCGTCCTACTGACTGTCTTGCTCAAAGCTGGTTGCTAGCACCATTGATCATTGCTAAGTCGAACTCGACTGGAGAAGAGAGAAGCCATACGCCTTGGTAGCATCGTGTATTCGTCCTTCAGAATGACCATAACGAATTCTGGTTCCTTTCCCGGCTCGGACAACATCGAATATCATGGTATTGGCATGAGCTCGGAGGTCAACGTACTTGGCTTCTGCCATGATGGATCAAGATCACCCGACGGATCTAGCATCAGCTTAGAACCGAGGATAGAGGAGAAGAGTGTGCTCCGGTAACGTTCTTTCTGCTCAGCGTAACGAGAAATGTGTTCTAATCAAAAATAGCCCAGACATAGAGCTCCCAAAACAAGCGTTCCGTCGGTCATCCGCTCCATCTCCTGAGTCTGTCGTGAATGCCAACGGAAGCACTGCCAGCAGCCCCCACTTGCAACAAGACGAGATAGGTCAAGCAACGCGGCCGAGGCCTGGAACTCCGGCAACACCTGAGGCTTCATCGTCCGATAGCTTGGTGACGAATACACCACCAACCGGTGGGCCGCTGGAATCGTACTTAGCATGTCCTCAGTCGCATGAGAGACGAGCGCTTTGGCTGCCTCCTGACAACGACGACGACCGAGAGCGAGACGCGACCTCTTCCAACTGCGGATCGGTAATCCTTGGCAAGAGGAGAGTCCCCGGAGTGTACGAGCAGGTTGAACGCAACACATCGCCTTTGGGGACTGTCGGAGGAGCCGAAGATGCCAAAGCCGGACAGCCATTGACGCATTACTTGTCCTCAGTCCATCCCCACGAAGTACTGGCGTATCAGATGTGGGAACTTGCTTCGAAAGACATCGAGCAAGATTCGTGCTCGGAATTGGGTTTGCCTAGACCATCGGAGAATGCAGTGCCCGCTTCAAATTCGCCCATATCTCCGGAGGCCGGCAGCCATAAGGAAGTCGATATCCCAGCAGCATCTGCGGTGCCATCACCCGCAGTATCCGTACCACAAGGTCCCATCGAGGTGGGATATGAACGTCGTGGTTCGGACTCGGCCATATCGGACTTGGAGACCGAAGAGCTGTACCAGCTTTTGTGAGTAGAGTTTATCGATCGTCCTGTATCATACACTTTGCTGACGCTTGACAGGGGAGAACGGCGGCGGGCAAGAGAGGCGGGGAGGACCAGGACATTCCAGCCAGCGAGGGCTCCGAAAGGCAGAGTCGAGAAGTCGAAGAGAATGAGGAGGCTATGAAGAGACAGCTGGGATGTCGCGGGGTATACATAGGCTACCTACTGAGGTGAGCTACCTGATCCTCCATATACCCAATAGTTGGTGGCGACGACAGCAATTGCGGGTAACTCGGTAGTGGTGTCTGTCGTTCCCGTGCTTTCAGTAGCGTGGCCTGCATCACGCTGCGTCGTGTTTGGTATCGAAAGCAAGGAAAGCCGGGCTTATTGGCATTTTTCCATGCGAGGGATGATGACGAACAATGAGGGCAGGCAGAATACTCTCGGCGACGTCTGGCCAAGACGATGAATTATGAGATTGATGGCGGATGATTTGATATGAAAAGTCGGTTCAAGGGGATCGCATATAATTGAAGTTTCGGTATCATCTAAGGGACCGAAGCAGGTGAAGGGCCGAGAATTGAGAAAATCCTTCCATTGTCTGGCAGTAACTCGACCCAGGTGGTGGGATCTAAGGAGCGAATTCGCACGCAAGCCGTCCACCGTCTCGTTTGCACCGATTGTCATTGCATAGTCGTGACTGACCATTGGCCTCTCCTATCAATTCATATTACTGTCTGTATGTCATGGGAACGAAGTCGCCGGATTAGTGGCCAATTAGGCGATAGTGGTGATGGAGATGTTGGTGGTGATGAACCTAAGGAGAGAGCAAGCAGGAGGTGGACGGGAGGAACAGAAACCCCACTATCGGCTCCTTATCTAATCTCAGCGCCGGATCTTATCTTATCTCTATCATTCTTATCGGAATCCATTGGGTTGAGCTTGGACGCGCCGAGCTTCGCACCCACCAAAGTGCCCGAATAAGGCACCTGCTGTTGCTGTCGCTGTCGCTGTCGCTGTCGCTGCTTCCATTGGAGCTGCGACTCGACTCATTACCATCGCATCTTCCTTCA